CTAATCACGTGCGGATAGAAATGAAGAATCTAAAATCTCAATTGTTTATAAACTTTGCTTCTTTTTGAATAGCTGACATTTCAGAATAGTGTCTGAGATCTCATTAAATCATTTTCTTTTGCAGCTAATTAAATGGCCTTACACGTGCATGCTGCATGACAGTGTGACCTGTTCGGGTAAAATCGTTGCGCCTGTGATTACATCCCGCGATTAATGCTGTCACAAATGAAAGAACTCAGCAGGAAATGGGTTCGTGGTTGACAGTATTTTCTGAACGACTGTGTTTGTAAACCTGATTTGGCTATGGTTTTGTGAAACGTGTGAAGGCTATAGGTGTTCTGTTTAGCACGAGTCACGGTAAACCTGAACGAGTGAAACGGCGTTTAAGGGTGCCGTTATTCGGGTAAAGGTACACTGTTAAAAATAATTGTTAATTTCTAAACTTTTTCAGTTTCTTAAGGATTTGAATCTTCATTCCAAACCATAAGGAATTGAATTTTCCATACCCTGTTTGGATTTTTCAGAATTGTTTGAATTTTTTAAAACTATTTGTAAACTTCAAAAGAATTCAGTTATTCTGGTGTTTGAATTTCATTTTCAGTATCTGGGTATTGGAATTCATGTTGAAATTTCAAAATTATATGATTTTTCAAATGGTTAGCAATTTTCAAAGTATTTTCACTTTCCCGGTACCAGAATTTATATTCCAATCCTACAGTATTTGAATTTTCTAACTTTGATTATGAAATTTCAATATTAAGGTTTGACTCTCTTGCGCCCTCTATGAAATGCATTCCAACTATAGGAAGTATTCAGAAAATTATACCTCATATGCATTCCAACACTTGAAGAGTCTATCCCGCCGTTTAAAGAAACATGTGTTTTAGAATATTGAAAAATGTATTCAAGCAGTTACAACAAAATGAATCAATATACAATATCAATATCAATCAAAATTAATCAGTATTGAATTTTCAAATCTCAATATTGAATTTTCAAACTCAGATTATGAATTTTCAAACGTCAGTATTCAACTTTCAAGAATTATATGAATTTTCATAATTCAAGTTTGAAAATTCAAAACCATGATCTGGAATGTCATTTACAATTCAGTTTTTGGAATATAAGAATCAATAGTTTGAAAATTCAAAATGTTCGTATTGCATTTTCAGTTCCGGAATGGACTAAATCTTCCAAACCTTGGTTTGTAAAATATAGACAAAATTTTTAACAGTGTAGCACGAAAGAAACATGCCGGTTCCTGATTTTCTATTGTTGAACGTCTGTGCTTGTGAACCTGAACTCCATACCCGGTTCAGGTGTGAAAACTGGGAAGATGAAAGGTGTTGAGTTAAGCAGACGCGCTAAACTCTAAGGGGTGAAGCTTCTTGCGAGCAACTTACGGTCAAACACGAGACTCCAAAGCTAATAGCACAAACGAAACCCATTTTCCTGATTTTTTTTCATAGTATAGATTCGTGTTTCGTTAAACATGGACCCTAACCCTTTCTTTTTCTTTTTTTGTTTCTTTTTCTTGCCTGTTTCTTAACCGCTATTTCGGTCTTCCGCCGCCTAATCTTCTTCTCCAGGACCCTAACCCATAAATCTGAACCCGGTACAGTTTTTTGAAACGTGTGAAGGTGAAAGCTAAAATAGGGAATGTGGGCATTTTCGAAATTCAAATAAGCATGGGGTGGCTAAAACCCATAGGGCAGAAAACTGTCGCAGGAAACGGGGTTCGTAAGCAGGCACTACCGATGTGATATCACTCTCGGGTCGGCAGCAGCTGTCTGCGCAGGGCCATCTCGTGCGGGCAAATGCGTGACCACGACAGATGGCGCCCGCCTGGCGCTTGACTCTTCGCGTGATATGGGGGGACCCTCGGCCCCCCGTCCCCCTGCTTCCATTGCGGGGTCCTTTGTCTCCCTCGCAAGTGCTCCCCGGGCGAACATTTCGTTTCCGCCGCCGGTTGACGGACCGCGAAACTCCCCCAATTAAGTGTTTCCCGAAATGCATGAAAAGAGTGACTCAGGCGGAGATGAAGCGTGGGGTGTTGTATTGTGTTGGTGACAGGTTGGCGGAGAAGATTTGTGTCCATTTGAATTCGATTCTTTGACACAAAAATGGTAGGCTGGGTTTTTCCCGGCCGTACAGGGGCGTAAAATGTGTATCATTGGGTTGTGTGCGAGACAATAATGGGAGATCGTGTTTCTGTTTGGGTGAATACATATACATCCGAGAAGAATATCTGACGAATCAAATATGAGTAAGCTTCGGAAGAACTGATGTAACTGACGAATCAAATTGAATAGACGTTTCATATCCCAATGACTCATGAAGAGACAGATCGGAAAGAAGATTTATAAATGCTGAACGGAAACACAGACATAACAGAATTATGTGTACTTCCTAAAAATGTTAAGTGAGTTTAAACACGAGACATTTGACATGATCTCAGTTGAAAGGAATATGGTGTTGATAGGTATCTGAAAGCGAGCCTTTTAAGATCATGTAAAAAGTTAAAGGTTAAAATAATCTGTTACTGTAGAATTATCGCATGTTCAGTATTCAGTTCTGTGGGTATTCACAATGTCTTCATTATTTAAATAGTTGTTTTGAATCACGAGTCAACTTAGCATCTTTACTCATCTGTTTATCGAAAATGTTAATTGTGATTTGTAAATATCAATAAATTGGTATTATCAAATAATCACATTAAATTGGTAACATGAGTTTATGAATAAAATTTTGAATGTCATCAAGCGGTATCGATGGTGAAACGGTTAACGTATCGGCTAATTATACCCAAGTACGCAGGTTCAATCCCCATCGAAGCCGTGGCGAAAAAAATCTTTCGTACGCCTTCCTTCGGAGGGGAAGTAAAGCCGGCTGTCCCGTGTGAGTAGATATACTGCATGTAAAACATCAAGTCTAAATGAAGTCTCTGAACTAAATGCAAAATCGCCTGTTTCGTCGCCCAACAAGTACCTCCTTTCTCTGCTAGTTGGTGAAAGGACCGTAGCGAAATTTGCGTGGTCAGACGGTAGAGCGGGCCTCATGACCTAAGTCTTGCCACACAAAATAAGGCAATAATTAAATTCAACAAGGATTGATTTACTCAGTTTGTAACGTTTTACGGGAATGAATTGTGAAGTACCGAGCAAAATTCTGTTCCGGAACAAAGGATACATTTCTGGCTGATGAAAAAATTGCAATTGAGAGCATAGGCTTCCGCGGCCGGAGTCAGTATTTACTTGGCTGTCCGGGTGACGCCGCGTCCATGGCGAAGGTGCCGACATTTCGGTCGCCATTCTGCGACCTTCCTCAGGGCGTAATGCTCTTAGGGCGTCGGCGCCTTCGCCATGGACGCGGCGTCACCTGAACTGCCAAGTAAATAAATGAAATTACAATTGTTTTAAGTTGATATGCGCCTTTACCTTGAACAGAAGGTCGTTCTTGCCCTTGTAGGGCCCGAACAGACGGAAAAGGTCCGGTCGCTCGGTGTAGAGCTTTCCAACAGCGATGACTGCGTGCCTGATGGCCTCCAGTTCGATCTGCGACTTGGAGGAGCTAGTTACCACCTGGGAAGAAGAGATCGTGGTCAGGAGCTTTCTTTTCACATTTGAAGCGGGTGACCTATTTCGACGTATTTGAGTATATACGCGAGAATAAAAGTGTTATCTTCTATTCTAGAAACGAAAGGTCTTAAACATTTTTGTAATTACAGAAGATTTTAAACCACTAAGAAATTTATTATTACTGATTTAAGTTTGCAGAGTGGTGCACATCGTCGCCGAGCGCGGTAAAAAAGTGATCAAGAAAAACATTAATTTTCAGCTAAGATGAATATAACGTATTTTAGACAGTCCCTAGTAAAATCTGTTAGTTTTACGACATACAGAGCGTCCTAACGGTTCAATCTTTAGCACTAGTTTTAAACTGAGATGATACTCAAGTGTTTGAATAAAAGTGTGACTGCAACAAAGATAACGAAATACTTTCATATTGCATCAGCTAGTAGTGAACTTAACGTAACATAGTACAGAAATTATATGCTTTGTATACTTGAATGAAAATAAAATGAAAGCCAGTAAGGCTGTCTAAAAATAGTGAATATCACACGTAACGTGATATTTTGCTCGTAGAATTGCGCCATTTGGCATATGGGCTTCGTGTGCCTACTTTTCGTACTCCCAAAATAAAGTGTCACTTTTACCACTCGTATTATAAATAACCATTTTTGTACACACATTTCTATTTAGAGCTGTAGATTAACTGAAATGTTCAAAAGTTGATAATATAAGAAATTAGTTTCGCTGAAGTACGTGCTAAAGTCATTACAGTCCTAGGCAGCAAAAAGGTATTGGTTTAAGAGGTTATTATTTGGGTTAAAGTCTTAATTTTTCGGACGAATGCAAATTTAAAGGTGAGTAAAGTCGATAAGCTCGTAAATTTGAATATCTGAACGTTGGTGTGTGAGAGTGTTTAAAAAGAAGCCTTTATGGAACTTTCAATTGCTTGATTCTCTCAAGTTAGGTTTTTGCTAACTAGTAAAATAACCATTTTTAAAAAAATGTTTGCAACTTAAATCTTTTTCAATTGAATTTCAAAGTTGTATATTGTGAGTTGCCTTTACGTTAATTTAAAAAAAACAACTGTAATCAAGACTTCTTCATATTTATTGTGATTCAGAAGCAATCAACTTAAAAAATAAAGTGAATAATGTAAAAGGGATTTAAAAGGAGCAGTAATTTGTCTTCCATTATTTCCGCATTATATTCTATTTTATTTTGCATATTTTCATATAGCGTAACGAGTAAGATTGAAAAATGTGAAAATTGTCTGCATTTCATTTCTCGAAAGTGTCATTTGAAACATTTCAAAATATTTCTTTGTATTGGGAGCGTGGTCTACATTCACGAGGACAAGAATTTTTAGTATTGTCGAGAACCCATTGAATAATGGAAATGAAGTGAAGTGGGTAAAGTAGGTGTACGTACCAAATGCGCGGGCACCTGCGCTAGGTTGCAACTCTCGTACTGATCAACGGGCTTGCGAGAGCCGTCGGGGCACAGCAGTTCGTAGTCGCTGCTCTGCAGGTTCCTTGCCCAGGCTGCAGAGTTCTTGCCATCTGCAGGAGAAGAAAAAATCGATGAATATCCGACATTCTCTTCACTTCTAAAACATAACTTGGTTATTAGATGAAAGAAATCATTCAACATCAGATTTTGCCATTACCGTTTCTATCCGAAAATTGATATGTGCAAAACATTACAATTGTGTGTAATTGAGAAATTCGAATTCTTAATAATTTACCGTTGAAATAAAACTTCACAGTATGGCAAATGCAGCAAACGGAAAATGCAGAAATTTAGGTAATTATGTCAAGGAAATGCGTAAACGATTATGGTATTCCAATGCCATCTATTAAAAGGCAGCTCACTCTAAAAAATAGTGATAAGTTTGTTTAATAATATAATGCACACGTATGTTCAATTCACTACGTACAAGACCCATAAAATAAAAAAGTAAAAAATAAAATTCAAGAACAAGACAATAAGAACGTACATATAGATAAAAGCTGGAAAATGCATTATCAAGGCAAACAAAACGATGGGTTACGAAATAATGTCGAGTGTACAATGCTACCTTTAATAAAATAATATATCAACCTGTATACATTATAGGATAAAAATATTTGTTTTAAAAGTGGTGTTCCATCGATTTTAAAAAAGTCTTATGTTTCTTAAGTGATTATATTCTCTTGCTCAAAGGTGGTACATGCGAATACTGTAGCTATTCAATATCAAAAATTTCCGCTTGACTCCATTACTGGAAATGCACAAAAATTCATCGCAGTCGTATATAAATCAACGCGAAGTGCATTGAGATTTATGCGAAGTGCATTGAGGTTCCATCCTTCCAACCCGCGGTCACGTGACGGCGGGGTCGCCCTCGACGCCGTAAATCCGCGGAGCGTGCGACAGCGCACTGTTTAACTTCCCGCTCACAAGAGGCGCGCCCTCTGCATCGTATCCTGCTGTGCCAGCCACTCGTCTGCAGGCAGCCACAGGCCCCGGGCGGGCGCGCGGAGGAGAATAGCGTTGAAACGCACGAGTGGACATCGTACAGCGGCTTCCTGCGCGGGGCGCCGTGCGACACACGACGGCTCGCCAAGCGCGGGAAAGGGCGTTCCTCATCAGAGCCTTTTACATGTGATTTGTCGTGTTCGAGAATTTTCACGTGGGACTGCGGTGTATCTAAGGAATGGTAGATATGGCACGTGCCATGGACTGTCACGGGACGTGATTCAGGGTTTATGAGAAACAGATGGATGATTTTTTTTATTAATTTTGCGAATATACACTTAAAAAGATGGAAAAATAATGTATTAAACTTTTGTAATGTATGAAACTTGGTCTTAGCTTGATCACATTATTCGTCATTTTTATTTGTTGAAAGTCGGTTTGCCCCTGATCAAATTATGGCGGTATTCTTTATGTCAATATAACGACGTGTTGCTCACTGCCAACATATCGAGCTTGCGCTCTTCAAGGGTAATATTGATAGGATTGTTTATAATACAGCAAATATTATAATTTTGTTGCATATCGTGATATCACCTCTGCAATCATTATTGGGTAAAATTTTATTTTGAAATCCGTATATAAATTCTAATTGGCGCACTCTACTATGTAATCTTGAAGATAGCCTGTAGAGACGTAACATAACAGTAATAATACACCAGTTTATTATTTTGACCTAAGCCCAAGAATATATCCATTTGTTACTTTTTATTAGTATGCCGTCGTCGGTGGTCGTTGAGACAGGAAAATCTTAATACTGAGTTTATTTAATTTTCCTGTAATCTAATTAGCAGAATTATAGAATGTACAGTTATTATAAAATATATACAGGCAAAACAATTTGATCATAATAAATGTTAATACAAATTTGAATTAAATGTTGGTTCTGTACGTTATTTTTTTTTACTTATATTCATAAGTCTATATAAGGCCTATATAAATAAAGAGGGAGCAGGCGGGCATTCTTTATAAAAAAGTGCACTCCGGACTGTTACTGTCTTTAGGGTTGTAAAATTCTTGGGTCAAATTGTTAAACATCGCAACACTATCGTCGGTAATGAAACGCAGAAAGACAGGTGAGAAGAGCTTCGTTCCCGCCACTCGTCATGAGATGTGCTTTACTCTCAAACTTCGTCTCTCATTCTACATAGAATGATCTTCTGTTATAGGCAAAATGCTTTTCTTATCAAATCGTCAACTGCAGCGCTACTTTGTAACAACTGCAATCTACTCGATGACCTAATGTGAGTAAGAAAATCACTTGCTTTTATTTTCGTATTTATTATTACATATAGTTTATTCCCAACATAATGGAAAATCATGTTCACGTAATTTACCTAATGCTATTCTATCCAACGCGCCCGTGAAACAGTTGTACACAGATATTGTATTATACTGAAGCTGACTAAATTGATAATATCGGTTAAGAGAAGCATGTGGTTTAACATAAAAAAATTGTAATTAAGGCATAATATTCAGAACATATATTTCCCAATAAGCTTCTCTAGTGGACTGAGAGGGCAATCTCGTCCATAAAACTTAACGAGTAGCTCCACCAATGACGACGATATTAACTGCTTCTGACAAAATTGTCCAAACACTTCGCAATCAATACTACACTTCACTTTTGACTCGACTCACTCGGTCGACCAACGAGACTTGGATCCGTTCATACATCACATTCCTTATGATAAATCCCGCAGATATTTGCCTTTGCTTTATGGGCAGGGGGGCGCTGAGTTGCAGCCCTTGCGCGCCCACGAAATGTTCGAATAAGCGCGCTTATTCCGGAGATATATCCTCCGCCCACGCGCATTAACTTCTCAGCACGCGGCTGCTTAAACGAAGCGTGAACGCGCGGCGCGGCGCGGCGCGGCGCGGCGTCGGCGCGTATTTTACGCAGAGGTGCCTCGGGAAGAGATTTAGCGCGCGAGTAGCCCGACGGAACGATATTTCCCGAAGCACGTGACGGCAAGAGAGGCGGCGACCTTGGGTACATATTCAATTGAAGGTCTCCAAGCAAGCATGTAGCTACGGGAGGGCACTCCCGAAATAGTTATGAGCGTCATTACGCCGCTATAGAGCAAATGGCGGGTGCGGTTGACGATTTAAGTCCTCTGTGATGTCGGCCGTGTCCAATGCTTTTCGTGATGCCAAATTCTCGTAAGAAAAATGCATTTAATAAATACTTGTGCTTAAAGTAGAAGTTCTCATTCGCCATCGTTTGATACAAATCGTTTGTTTCGATTGGTCTTAACGATCCGCTGCCGGTAAAGTCCGTAACGGTCGCAGGTCCGTGAGAGTGGATTTCCATTCCTCTATACGTTGCGTTATGCCGATATAACAGGACAGTTTTACAAGTCAATCCAGTGAATGTTGAGTGCGGTTATGTCTTTTGGAAATTGAAAATTATTGCAAACGAACTTTTCTTTTTACAGTTTACAAATGCCACATCTCTTCGAGATCAGCAATGGACCAAATTTTCCCGAAGCAGGTTTCGCGGAATTGTCATCACATTAATCCTGAATGTTCATATTTCAAAAGTTCGCTCGTCGAGGAACACACGTAACTACGTTCTGGCTAACGCTTCGACAAAGACGGCTATTCCGAATCAAATTAGCAGTACCGTGGTAGAATTATGATCCGTTAGAATCAATTACTTCGTGTACAATATTGCGGATTACTTATGATCTACAGTACTAAATACGAAACTGCATTCTAGCATAAAAACGTAGAGTTAATTTGTTACCATGTACTCTCAGTTCATTTCAAAGTTGAATTAATTATTTTGAAAGTAAATTATAAACAAATTAAAACATAGATCATTCTTCTATCACTACTTTTGAACCTAATAGTTTCCAACATTTATTTTTGAATTGTACCTAATAGTTTAACTTCCGAAGCACGTTTATTTGTCTATCATATGCTTTGGTCATCTTTTTTCTGCAAATGTGAGAAGATAGTACGTGTTGATAAACAATTTATTTCCATTACGATATTTCTCGGTGACACAAGGAAGTTTACAGAGCGTACCTCTATAACTGTACTTGTCCGTATCGCTATAACCTTAGACAAATTTGTTAAGGTCATGGAAACAATTACTCTGTTCTCACTGGTAGTGTTCCAGGACAAAAGTCGCAGTTAATGGGTACCGTTGACTGGTAACATTAGACTAGCGTTGTAAACATATTAGTACGCACTTACACGAGTCTTTGTATGTCACGATCCTGTGCTTTATTACTCAGCGAGAACGTGTGACACTTTAAAATAATCCACGCGAATGTCGTGACAAAGTGCACCCCTCCACCCGAACGAGGAAAACCATTCGATTTCGAAGGCGGAGGGAGCGTTCTGGAACGAGGTGTCGTCGTGGAAATGCGTCACGCGTTCGATGCTCGTTTGTTTGCGCGCGGCCGCACATTAGAGCGTCGCGGGCGACAAAGGGCCGCGCCGACGTGCCGGGCGGCGGCAGCAGGGCGTTTGAGCGTCGGGCGGAGGGCTCTGGTCGGTGGGCGGCGGGCCGCGGGAGACGCTTGCTGAACGACGAGAGTTGTGACGTGGCAGACGGGAGATGGGACATGCGAGGGAGGAAGGAGGGAAACGGGACGAGTGTTGCGGGTCGATTGAGGTGCAATAGGGGACGCGACAAACGGGTTGAGAGAGGCGGGTCGCGAGACGCGAGAGGCGGGACGCGAGACGGAAGAGGCGAGGCGCGAGAGGCGAGACGCGAGTGGCGAGACGCGAGAGGCGCGATGCGAGAGGCGGGACGAGAAAGGCGAGGCGCGACACGGGACGCGGGACGCGGGACGCGGGCCAGCGGGAGAGAGCAGAGGGCAGCTAACAGAGCCTTTGTAATCTCCCTTCTTCAGCAGGTTCCACCGCCCAACGAATGGTAAAACGGAAAACGAGGAGAGAATGAAATACAGTTGCCTTTTGTAACTACTGTATTGCACCTTGTACAAGGTGTGTTGGCTATATTGAGATTTTTGAATGTCATTTGCGGGTAAGGTAGCAATTTTGTTTTTTGTTGCTTTTCGCTGGTATT